CAGGAGGGGAAGACCCTCTATGAGATGGATTGATTCGGTGACTGGGGTAATCGGGATGGGTGTATCAGAGGCGGTGCGGTTGGCGCAGGATAGAGCGGCGTTTAGAGCTGTTGTGCATAGGGTCGCTATAAGTCGGAAACGACTCGATGGCACATAACAACAACAACAACATTGTTGTTTTGACTTTGGAGTGAAGGTATCCAACTATGTTGTAGGGGGGAAAAATGCTTCTGAGATAACGTGAAGGCTTTTTGTATTAGATGGATAGGAATCTTTTTGGTTTTGTGTGCATTGAGCCTTACCATTTAATTGATAGCTGTTATGAAGCTTGTATTTTTTAGCTTTTATTCTTGATAGTAGTGACATTGTTTATTCTGTCGTTTATTTATTTAAGGCATTGTATCAGCTACAATTCAGGTATTAAAGGACTCCTTTACTAGAGTGATAGGGCTTTGTGTGCCTTAGCTCACATAAAAAATAAGCTATAGAAATATCTCTCAGTAGATTCTTTTTCTTTAAAGAAAAAGCTAGGTTTAAATATTTCAAGATGGGGAATTATAATCTTTTTGAGATTCAAGTCCATGTGTGTGCAGTTACTCTTTGTGTTTTGAGAGTATCTGAAAAGTTGTTGTTGTTGAGTACCATAGTGTTGGAACTGACTCAAGGGAGGAGGCTGGCCATCTTTCTCCCACAGAGCAGCTGGTGGATTTGAACCACAAATTTTTGTGTTGACAGTGCAATTCTTCATCACATAGCCACCATATGGGGTAAGTAGTTTTTAATAAACCAACTGCTACTGACTGAATTCAGACTTGCAATGATCCTGTAAGATAAAGTACTACTGTTCCACGGGCTTTCCTAGCCTATAAATCTTTATAGAAACAGACTTTTCATCTTCTGTGAAGCAGCAACCAAATACTTAACCACAGCACCTTGAGGGCACCCACGTCAGCATAAATGTTGCAACATATTATGTTGATGTTAAGGTATTCTCACGCTCAATTTTTATGTAGCTTTTTACCTTCTGAGACAGTTCAAAGAATACTATGGAAAATCCCTAAACTCTGAACCTGTGGAGCAGAAAAGTTACTCTTTGGTCAAATGCATTCATAGTTGTAAATTTAGAGACTTGGTGGATAAGAGTTAATCCTTAGGCAATAAAAGAGCTAAGAGACTGAAGAAGTAATAGTCTCACCATGTTCCCACAGTGCCTAGAGAGTTTGTTGTTTTTTGATTACCCTCCATGGAAGAAAGATGGGCTGTCAACTCCTATTCAGTTTACAGCTTCCGAAAACCCACTGACAGCTCAACTATGAGTCAATTCTAACTTGACCGCTAACAAGAGCAGTCTTGACTGGTTGGCATACAACAACATTTCATAATAGGGAGCTCTGATGTTCCATAAAGCGTTTCACAGCTAACCCACGGGTTAGCTTGTCATTTGGATCCACTATCAGTTCAGTGGGAAAAAAATGGGCAGTCTCCTCCCATTTGATTTACAGCCTGCTGGAGGGACAGCTATGAGTCGGTCTGACTGTATAACAAGGAATTAGAGTTTTTGTTTGATTTTCAGTCAGATATAGAGACCAGTTAGAGGAGAGTGGATGGGATGATGAGCAGTCTGACAGAATCAGATAAAAAGACTAGAAATAGAAGTTGTGGTTGTTGTTGATTGTCATCAAGTCGAGCATGACTCATAACTACCCTTTAAACAAAAGATCTGAAGACTTTCTGTAACTATCGTCATTTCTCAAATTCATAGAGTTTCCAGAGGCATGTTGTTTAGGAAGTGGAATCCACTAATCTGTGGCCAATCCTTCAATAGAACTAAAGTCCATGGTTAGATGTAGCAGAGAGACAAAATAGCACATATGACCTTTCTATATGTTGCGCTTTTGCACACATTACCACATTTGATCCTATAAAACATCGGGATGGGTGTGTCAGAGGCAATGAGATTGGCACAGGATAGAGCACGGTTTAGGGCTGTTGTACATAGGGTCGCTATGAGTCACAAACGACTTGACGGCACATAACAACAACAACAATATAAAGAGAATGCTCAGGAACACGAAAAAAGTATTGTCCTAGGGTAAGGTGGGAAAACTTTCGAGATCCATTTTCTTATAAGAGAGCTGTTTAAGCACATGATAATGCTGTGGGTAAAATTTTCTCATTTTCCCTATTTCAAATTTAGAATCCAAAATGTCAAAAGAAACTTTAGAAAATGCTTATCATCCTTGTGTGTTTATGTTAACAAGGCTATTAAAAATGTTCAAGTGACAGTGCATTTTAACAAAGAAAATGTTGGGTTTTCTTTTTAATCAGTTGCATTATTTTATTAATTTCAAAAAAATTTACAAAATGCTAGTTTCTTGGTAAAAGAGATCATTGAGATTCTTAAATCCCTTGCATTCTTTTAACCCAGCTGCTGTCTTGGTTTATTTTTGTAGCTGTGAAGAAGGCTACACTGGAACAAGATGTGAAAGAGTTGACTTGTTTTACTTAAGAGGAGATAGAGGACAGATTTTGGTGATTTGTCTGATAGCAGTTATGGTCATTTTTATCATCCTGGTGGTTGGTGTCTGCACATGCTGTCAGTAAGTACTTTGGAACTTCATTTAAAGTAAATCTAAGAAATTGAATTTTGCATGTTGTTTTCTTTCTTTTCTATTTCTCCCCTCCTTGCCCTCCTTCCTTTTCTCTCTCTTTTGATTTGCTTTAAATAAATCAACTTTTAAAATTTGCTGCTACACGTATGAATGTATTTTATTTATAATAAAACTGTATGGCTTGTTTCATTGAACCCAGTCAGAAGTCCTGGTGGTATAGCGTGTAATGTGTCAGGCTGCTAACAGAAAGGTGGTGGTGGTGGTGGTGGTGGTGGTGATGATGGTGGTGGTGGTTGTTAGATCCTGTCAAGTCGAGAACAAATCAAGCTGATGAACAACAGATCTGAATCCTGTCTATCCTAAGCCATCCTTACCATCTCTGATACACTTGAGCCCACTGCTGCAGTCACCATGCCAACTTATCTTATTGGGAGTCTCCCTCTCTTTCACTGACCTTTCCAGGCATGATATCTCTTTTAGTGGAATATGTTTTCCTAGCAACATGTCTAAAGTATGAGAGGTGACGCTTTGCCATCCTTGACTCCAAGAGCTACACCTTTTCCAAATTATCCCTGTTCAATCTTTTGGCAATTCATGGGATATTCAATACTCTTCTCCAGTGTCACAACTTAAAGACATCAAATATTCTTCTGTCATCCTTATTCATTGTCCAGTTCTCAGATGCAAAGCAAATTATTGCAAAGACGTTGGCTTGTGTCAAGCTCACCTTCGCCTTCAAATTGACACCATTGCTCTTCAGTGTACAATTCCAATTCACCAGGTTCCTCAAGTGAAAAACACATGGACATTCTCTCTTTAAGATTTACAGCCTCAAACACCCAATAAAGAGTCACTCAATTAGTATAGACTAGACGTAAGTGAAATTTTTTGTTTTTTGCTTTTTAATGTGAAGTTATAAAATGAAAATTGCAAAACTGTTATAATTTAAAACAAAAGTGCACCTTGGAGGCAAGACAGCAAAGCTTCGCCTCATATACTTTGAGCATGTTGTTTGGAGAGGCTATTCCTTAGAAAGGGATGTCATGCTTGCGAAGAGGGAGGGTCAGCTAAAGAAAGGAAGACCCTCAAGGAGATAGATTGACACACTGGTTGCAGCAGTGAGCTGAAATGTCAGAGATTATGAGGATGGCACAGGACAGGACAGAGTTCAGATCTGTTGTTCAATGGGTTGCTATGAACTGTACTCAACTCGACAGCACCTAACACCATTATCAACAAGTTTTTAAAACATCCTGAAGTCAGTCATATTTTTGTGTGGGTTTGTGAGTAGGCTCAATAAGATCAGGTAAAAACGACTCTTTGTTTTCTTAAACTGTACCATAACACAGTAACTTTGAATGGTAAAAATGAATTAACAAGGAAAGAAAAAAAGTGCTTTGACTTATTAAAATATGAATTTTATCTACAAAAAGTGATTATACTTTTGTCCCTGTCTTTTGATTTATATCATACATCACTGCTCTGGGAGTCAAGAAATGATTGCCTTTTTCACTGAGAAAAGTGGTCCTTCATTTTGTTAGATTTCTTTAGGGAAATTGTTAACTTTTTATCAGCTCGAAAATTCAACCTAGGATACTAAAAGACATATTTTTCTAAAGCGATCTCTTTATATGATTTAAGGTTTACTTTATGAAGAGATAGAATTCATAATTTTTAAATTTTTTTTTTAATTTTGTTTGTGTGATTGGGAGTATATTCATAGCATAACATAAACCAGTTCAATGATCTTGAAATTTACAATTAATCTCCTTTTCTAAGTTGTTGCTCCTCGATTAACAGAAGCTCACTGCAACTTAACTTGCTATCTTTTTTCCAGAGGCTAGTCTAACATTCAAGGAGTTCTGGTAGCCTAGTGGTAAGAAACTGTGCTACAATCCCAAAGGCACCTGATTTGAATCCTCCAGCTGCTCTGAGATAAAAGGACGAGCAATTTTTCCCCCTGTGATTTAATGCCTCTGAAAACCTGCTGGAGAGTCAGCTATGGGTTCGTTCCAACTTGATGGCATGCAACAGCAGTCTAACATCCTATTTTATTTCTTCTTTTACTTCTGAGCTTTTGTTCATAAAAAGGACTGTATTACATGAATCCCTTTCTTCACAATGTTACTGGAGGAAATTCAAAAGAGGGAGAAAAACAAACACTATCATAGCTACTGTGTGTCTTTTGGGTTTTGTCCCAACTCTGCCATTTACATAGTTTTATAACCACGAACTAATTTCTTATCATCTTTAATTGTTCCCCGTTAATTAAAAGGTATAAAACAGGTAATCTGCATGATTCGTTCCAGCTCTAAAATGGAAAGCTATTTTTGATTGTATCTTTTTATGATGTTGTTATGTACCATTGAGTCACGTGCAACCCACAGTGACCTTATATATGTGTTATTGTTGTTGTTGTTATGTGCTGTCGAGTCGCCTGTGACTCATAGTGACTCTATGTACAACAGCCCTAAACTCCACTCTGTCCTGTGTGAATCGCACTGTCTCTGACACTCCCATCCCAATTATCCCAGTCACTGAATCAATCCACCTCATAGAGGGCCTTCCTCTCCTGCGCCGTCCCTCCACCCTCCCAAGCATGATGTCCCTCTCTAAGGACTGGTCTCTCCTCACAACATGTCCAAAGTAAGTTACACGGAGCCTCAGAATCCTTGCCTCCAAGGAGCCACCCGGTTTAACCCTCTCCAGGACAAATCTGTTTGTTTTCCTTGCAGTCCATGGTATTCTCAATACTCTTCTCCAGCACCACAGCTCAAAGGCATCAGTTCTCCTTCTATCCTCCTTGGTCATTGTCCAACTCTCTGATGCATAACAGGTGATTGCGAAGATCATGGCCTGTATCAGACACACCTTAGTCTCCAGAGAGACACCATTGCTCTTCAGCACTTTGGAGAGGTCCCTATCAGCAGACTTTCCTATGGCAATGCGCCTTTTAATTTCCTGGCCAAGCAAACTAAAGCTGTGTACAATCTCAATCTCTTCACCATCCATCCTGATGCTGCCAATTGGTCCAGTGGTGAGAATCTTTGTCTTCTTGACATTGAGCCTCAATCCATATTGTAGGCTGTAGTCCTTGACACTCTGCAGCAGGCGCTTCAGGTCCTCCTCAGTTTCAGCAAGCAGGGTTGTGTCATCCGCATAATGCAGATTGTTGAGAAATCGTCCACCAATCTTGACCCCACATTTCTCCTCATAGAGCCCAGCCTCCCGGATAATCTGTTCTGCATATAGGTTGAAAAGGTATGGAGATAGGATGCATCCCTGGCGTACGCCCTTCCCAATTTTGAACCATGCAGTGTTCCCTTGCTCTGTTCTGACGACTGCCTTCTGGTCCAACTATAAGTTTCGCATTAGAACGATCAAGTGTTCTGGGATTCCCATTCTTCTCAGAGTCAGCCACAGTTTGTTATGATCTACACAGTCAAATGCCTTTGCATAGTCAATGAAACACAGATAGACATTCCTCTGGTATTCCCTGCTTTCAGCCAAGATCCATCTAACATCAGCTACAATATCTCTAGTACCACGACCCCTTCTGAAACCAGCCTGGACTTCTGGTAGTTCTCTGTTGATGTGCTGTTCCAGTCGTTTTTGGATAATCTTCAGTAAAATCTTGCTTGCATGTGAAATCAGTGAAATTGTTCTGTAGTTTCCACATTCGGTTAGGTCGCCTTTCTTTGGGATAGGAACAAATATCGATCTCTATATGTATATATGTATAGTAGCTCTGAACCCTGCCCTATCTTGAGCCAGTTTCACTAATTCCAACACACCAAACCCCCGTGGCCCCAGTTACTGTATCAATAGGATGGAGTTTTTATGAATGACAATTTTGAGACAGACTACCAATTAGTCTACCAAATAGACTATTATATCAAATTTGAATTGTACTTAAAGCAAGAAACCTGGGTTGCAGCTCAGCATATCTAATATATTTCTTTTCTGAAGACTTAGTTGCTTACATATTTAAACAATACTTTACTTCTCTCGGTTTTCCTAATATATATTGAAAACTGTGTACTTTGTTGTTTATATAGAAATAATGCTTATCAATCTTTCTGTAAAATGACTCTTTGAATTTTTTTGCCGTTTATACTTCATCAAATACCAATTGCCATATTCATAGTACATGCTGTCATTGATACTATTAAAATGAGTCTAACTAGGAATAATCCTGGGGAGCTCTGATGGCCTAGTAGGCAAGGAGTTGCACTGCAAAGCCAAAGCAGCCCCTCTCTAGCAGCCTGAATCCACCAATGGTTCTTCTCATGAGATTTATAGTTGGTGGAGGGTAAGCTATGAATTCTGACTCATGGCAGCAAAATTGAGGTTTTCAGTATCAATTCATGTAACAGAGTAGAGTTTCAACACTGAGTCGAGTACAATTCATAGTGAACCGATGAACAAAAGATCTGAGCCCTGTTCTATCCTGTATCATCCTCACACTTCCTGACACACAAGAGCCTATTAAAGCAGTCACCATGTCAATCCACTTACTTGAGGGTCTTTCTCTTCTTCGCCAACCCACTACCCTTCCCAGAACCATGTCCCTCTCCCAGGAGTATGCCCAGAGTATATGAGGTGAAGCCTCATCATTCTTACCTTCAAGGAACACTCTGGCTGCACCTTCTCCTTTTCTTTAATATAATCTTAATGCAAGAGATCCCTAGGTCTTTCTTCCACAGAGTCATTGGGTGAATTTGAAGAGTCAAACTTTCAGTTAGCAACCAAACACTTAGCTTTACACCATCAGAGCTCTTTTCCATCTGTAGATAACTGTGTTCTCCTACACTGTGGTCTATTCTGTGCTCATTTGATCCTAGAGATAGAAAATAGAGAGAATCTAAAATTGTATTCTTAATCTACTTAAGAAACAAGGGATCCTATGAAATGTTAACTGTTTAGAAATGAGATCATAGACTACCTTCATAGTTAATTTTGCATTCCACTGACTTAATAAGCTCACACTGATTCCTACCTCTTTATTTAAAGTCCTCTTCAGAAACATCGTAAAAGAAAGAAGAAGGAAGAGGAAATGGAAACTCTGGGTAAAGATCTAACTCCTATCAATGAAGATATTCAAGAGACTAGTATTGCTTAGTGGTAAGTGTGATAAACTTAGACATGGAAAGCTCCAGGTGAAATTTTCATGCTAAGATGAAATATCACATTGAGTAAATCAACACTGAAATAGAACTATGTTTAAAAGTATTTAAGACTAAACTTATAATGCCTCACAGAAAACTAAAACCAAATAAAAGAATTTCCTGTATCTTTCTCCTATACCCTACAACAAAGATAAGTGTATGGGGAAACTATTTACTTATATATTTTTCTAATTTACTGAGACCAATTTTCATTCTAATTATGCATGATTGTGGTTATTTTATCTTTTTCTTCATTTAAGGACACAGACATATGCTTTAATTTAGAAATTTCTAATTTAAAAGAAATACCAATAGAAATGTTTTCATAATAACATACTGTTTATTGAAGAATCTCTCTGGTGACTTAGTGATAAGAAGTTACTCTGTCAACCCAAAGGCGGATAGTTCAAATCCACCAGCTGCTCCATCCTACTGTGTGATCTGTTGTTGTTATGTGCTGTTGAGTTGCCTATAACCCTATGTAGAGCAGCTCTGAACCCTGTCCTGTCCTGCTCACTAATTCTGACACACCAATCCCCATTGCCTCAGTTACCATACCAGTCCATCTCCTCCGGGGTCTTCCTTTCCATCCGAACATGATGTTCTTTCCAAGGACTGATCTCTCCTGGCCATGTGCCCAAAGTAGGTGACACAGAGCTTCAAAATCCTAGACTCCAAGGAAAAAATTGGTTTCACCCTCTCCAAGATGGACCGATTTGTTTTCTTGGCAGTCCACAGTATGTTCAAGACTCTTCTCCAACACCACATCTCAAAGGCATTGATTCTACTGTAATCCTTAGTCATTGTCCAAATATCTGAGGTATAACAAGTAATTGCGAAGACCATGGCCTGGATAGGCACACCTTCATCTCTAGACTGACATCGTTGCTCTTCAGCACTCTGGAGAGGTCCATGACAGCAGATTTTCCCAATGCAATTTGTCTTTTGATTTCCTGACTGCTATTGTTAAGAGTGTTGATTGTGGAGCTAAGTAAGTTGTAGTTGTTAACAACCTCAACCTCTTCTCCCTCTATCACTGTACTATAAATTGGCCCAGTGGTGAGAATCTTTGTCTTCTTGATTTTAAACTTCAATCCAAATTGAAGACTACGGTCCTTGACCTTCTGCAGGAAGTGCTTTAAATCTTCTTCAGTTTCAGCAAGCAAGGTCATCTGTGTAACACAGGTTGTTGATGAGTTTACCTCCAATACTGATGCCACATTCCTCCTAATAAATCCCAGCCTCCCTAAAGATCTGTTCTGCATATAGATTGAAAAGGTATGGACACAGGATGCATCCCTGACTCACTCCTTTCTTGATTTTGAACCATGCAGTGTTTCCCTGCTCTTTTCTGAGGACTACTTCCTGGTTTACGTATAGACTTCACATAAGCACAATCAAATGTTCTGGGATTCCCATTTTCATCAAGGTTAGCCACAATTTGTTGAGATCCACATGGTCAAATGCCTTTGCATAGTCAATGAAACACAGATAGACATTCCTGTGGTACTGTCTCTGAAAACCTTCTGGATGGTCAGCTGTGAGTTGGTTCCAATTTGACAGTACACAACAACCACCACCACCACTTATTGAGAAAAACCTGAATGGCATTAAGGTTTAGCGTGCTAAGATGCTAGCTTAAAGTTCATAATTTTTTTCACCCAGATGCACCTTGAAAGAAAGGTTTATTTATCTACTTCTGAAAAAAAATCGTTCACTGAAAGACAACTTACAGGAGCACAGTTCAGCTCTGACTATGGGTACTCATGATTAAGAATTGAATGAAAAACTGTGTTGGGTTTTTTTTTAAATTGACTGTTTATCAAATGTCAAGCACTTCCCACCCCCCCCATTTTTAAAATGTCACCAGTTAGCAAAGCAGTTAGAATCATGAATCTCCTCAGGTAATCCAGTAAATACATTTTAGTGGAGTGACTATCATGTCATGGTTAAGATAATTCAGGAATATTGAAGAATCCTGCCAGTAATAGCAAGAAATTGTTACCCTTACTGTTTCTGGAAAGGTTGATATATGACCTGAGCTCCCTGAGAGGAGCTCTCCAAGAGACCTGCCAGGTAAGAACTATAGTTTTGAAGACAAATAGCCAGACCTTAACTAAGAGTCACCAGCTAATAAAATTGATTAGCGCACCTGACTATTGAGTAGAGTTTGGAGATTCAAATCCACCCAGAGGTGGAAGAAAGGACTGGTAACCCGTATCTGAAGACTCAGAAATTAAAAACCCTGTGGAGCAAAGTTCTACTCTGACACACTGTGAAGTCACCGTGAATTGGGATTAGCTCCACAGCAACAGTTTTTCTTTTTTTAATAAGTAGAGTTGGAGAAAGTAGGGAGAATACGTCAACCTTTCCCTTCTCCTGTCCTCAGATCTTCTGCAAGTACCTTCATTTATCCAAACCTAATACAAATCTGGAGGGTAAAATTTTGATGATGTAACCTTCAGTTATTAGCCTTTTGCTGTACAGATCACGGCAGAGAAAGTTTCCAAGGAAAAGTTGAAGAACTACTGTAGTCGTCAGTATTTTTGTCTGTACTACGATAAGATTGACAAAGGATAGAGAAGGGTTTAGGACTATTGTACATAGGATTGCTCTGAATCACTGGTGACTTGACAGGACATAACAACAACAACAACACTACCATAAAGTCTAACAGGTTTAAATAATAAGAGAATGTATCAGCTTCCACAATCCAGAAGTTAGGTAGGCTTATGACTTGATTGAGCCAGTGATTTCTACTTCAAGAAGAACCTATTTCTCTTCTGCTCCCTCTTCATGTTATTGCTAGGTGCTGTTGAATTGAACACAATTCATAGTGACATGATGCACAACAGATCTGTACACTGTTCTGTCCTGTGCCATCCTCACAATCTCTGACACACTCAATCCCATTGCTGCAGTCACTGTGCCAGTCCACGTGGTTGAGAATCTTACTCTCTTTTGTTGTCCCTCCACTTTTCCAAGCACGATGTCACTCTCCAAGGAATCGTCTCTCTTAGCAACATGCCCAAAGCATATGAGATGAAGCTTTATCATCTTTGCCTCCAAGAAGCACTCTGGCTGCAATTTCTCTAAGACACAGTTATTTGGTTTTTGACGGTCCATGGGATATTCAGTATTCTCCAACACCACCACTCAAAGGCATCAATACATCTTATACAGCTCTCAGATTCATAGCATGTCACTAAAAATACTGTGGCCTCAATCAGACACACCTTAGCCTTCAAACTGACATTGTTGCTCCCCAATAATTTGATGTTCCTGACTGCAAACATATAATAGGCTGTTTCCTTGTTCACATTAAACAAGAATGAATTGACTTGTCATAGTTCTCCCAACAGTGTGAAGAATCTTCTTTCCTGAAAACCTTCAGCAGAGTAATTGTTGTTGTTGTTGTTGTTGTTGTTAGTTGCCATCAAGTCTACTACAAATTATAGTGGCCCCATGAATAACAGATTGAAATCTTGTCCTAGTCTTCACCACACTCATAATCTCTGCTGTTCCGACATCCATCATTACAGAAACCGTGCCAGTCTATCTCACTGAAATTCAGAAACAATGCAGAACAGTTGTTGACCCTCGCCTTTTCCAAGCAGCTTAATGGGCTATAGTGAGCATGCATGTCAAGAAACTATATTCTTCTCTTGCCGGTGGCTCTAATGAGATAAAAATAAAATTGCTGGCTCACATCTTTTGTTTGTTTTATTTTTTAAATGTAAATTTTGAAATGGTCTACTTTTCCCTTTTCATTTTGTAGGGTCAAAAAGTGCCATATGAATGGTGAGAAGCTGAAGAAAATACCTTACTCCATTGGAAATGGACTGAACGTGTCTCAGGAAAGCAGCGAGCAGAAATTAATTTTAAATAATGTAGTTATGTTTTTGTGGCTTACTGGATAGGAAGTTGTGCTGCCAACCCAAAGGCACATGGTTCAAATCTACCAGATGCTCCTCAGGATAAAGATGGGCAATCTCTTCCCGAGTGATTTACTGCCTTTGAAAGTTCCGGGAGGGCCAAATAAGAGTAATTTCAGACTCAATGGCACATAACGACAGCTATGGGGATTTTTGTTGTCTTAGTTTATGCTGTTTATTTCAGTTATTATTATCATAACTTTTAATTATTATTTAGTAATGGGTGGGAGAAAGGACCTGATAATGTAGCAATAATGGCATATTAAGAAGGGAAATTTTATGTTTTCACACCAGGGACACTAGTCTAATAAAAAGTAATATGGGAAGGAGGTTGGATTTTAGGAATTATATTAATAATAAGCATCTATTGGGCTCAGAGTCCCTAGGTAGAGTGAATAGTTAAATACTGGGTTACTAATTGGAACCCATCAAAATGCACCTTGCAAGAAATAGTCCGTGATCTCCCTCTGAAAGATCACACCCACAAACACACTATGATGGACAGTGACGCTACTCTGAAGCACATGAGGTTGTCATGAATCAGAATCTACAGGATGAGAATGTAGGTTCTTTTTTTGTTAACATTTGCTGAAAGTTTGAGATGTATTATTTCACTTGATGCTTCCAAAACTCAAAAAGACAATGGGACATGCTATATTTCTCATTTCTCAGATAAGGAAACAGATCCCTTCAAATAATAAAGAATCTATTCCAAGTTTGAAGATTTAGGAATTAGTGAAGCTAGAATTGGAGCCAAGATTTTCCTAAAATATGCTCATATCTAGGAGTACAATGAACTGAATTGATTTAACTTAATATTGTACAATATTTTATCCTGACCTCAGTTTCCTTAACTCATAATCATGACATGACCGTCTATTGTCTGAAACACAGTCTGGCAGAGACAATTCAGAACATAGTGTCCTGATCTATATTACTGTTTCCATCATGCTTTCTGAAGAGGTGACTTTTATTATGATTCTTTGCTCTCTTGTATTGTGAGTTATAAATATCATGAC